TAACCGTAACAGGGAATGAATGCTTAGCAAAGTCGAATCGTGACATTTGATCTTTGGGATCTATAACCAGCTTTGCAATGCGAAAATACACGAATGTCCATTAATTATACCTTTGGCAAAATCTTCAGTATGTTTTATAAGTGCTGAAAATATCGTACGCATGGCATCGTCTTCAGCTATCAATCGTCTGAAACGTCCCTTTTAACGATTGAAAAAACGCGTATTAACGATTACCTTGCTATGCTGGGCACTGTCAAAAACTGAACTGTAAGACTGACAATTGATATATCAAGGTCGTGATCATCATCGATAAACTCTTTGTAGATGTCCTCATAATGCTAAAAATGGTAAAACAATAATTTTCGAGATCCCCGTTCGTTGAAACCACTTACCGCAAGGAATGTTTTAGAAAACACCACTTTCTGGTCGAAATTCATAAGAACGGTCTTCATTAGCATTTGGTGGGTATTCGCACGTGCAGCTGAAAACAAAGTGTATAAGTTCCGAAGACCACTCACTACCCAGAAGATTGGTAAAAAGAGTATTCAGACATACACTTCCACATTTTCTTGTCAAACCGCAGAAGACGAACAAGTATCGTTTCCTGACTAGGAAAATCATCTTCATCTCGTTCAATCACAGTGTTGAGTAGAACATCGCCAACAATGGAACCAAGTATGGCTGAAAAATAATGAAAAAGATACTTGAAAAATGCGATCTGCAGGAAACTCACGGAATGCATCTATTTGTGAGTTTAGCCAAGCAAGAAGGGCAATGGCATGATTTTGATGTGCAACAAGAGCTCCGTCTAGCACTTTGACATCAAGCGGTCCAGCTTTTTCCGTTCTTCGATTCATATCTCTTAGCGTTCGTCGCTGAAGGTGACATTTAAGAGGATCTCCGATAATCTTTTCATTCCAAAAACTGAATCTCAGTGCTCTGAGCAGTATTGAAGACCTACTTGGATATCGGTTTTCACTCTTTCGCAATCTTGTTTGGCTCCGACTTTGACCGCACTGCGACCTTCACGATCCACTATCGTGGCTATCAACATCGCTTGGTCTTTCGTGCAATTGATAAACATTTCTAGGGCTCGAATAACCTACAAAGACATGATCTGAATATAAACGGAAAGGGTTCGCGCAACTAAAAAACTTGCTTACCGTCTCATAAGTATGCGTTTCATCATTATATAAAACCGTTACATATGGAGCAATACTAGTCACTTCGAGTCTTTCTGCAGGAGGTTGTCTGCAAGTAGATTTGTTAGAACTAAAAAATGTAGCGGAAAATTATTTACGTCAAATTCAAAGGCAGCATATCAGTTTTTTCCCAACATATCAGCTTCGTAGAGTATTGGAGGATAAGACGTGTCAACCCACGAAGTCGAATCTCCAAGTTTTCAGGAAGAGAGAATTGCACAGTGCTAAAACATAAGCAAGTCAGTTCATGAAGAACTAATAAGGTTATGAACCCTGACTCTTCTTCTCTCCTTTCGTGAGTTTTGCAAACATATCCGCTAGTCCAAGCATCTTCGTCGCCACAGTCACAATAACCCGCACCAGATGAAGTATGGATCTGAAACTGAAGAGTGCTCAGTATTATGCATATAAACGCTAAATCGAACTGTAGACATAAAGAATTCTGATTATTTCCTTAGCAGACTCGTATACAAAAATTAAACGTGCACAAAAAAACCAAATTTAAAATCAAAAAAATTATGCTCAAAAAAATTCTGCCAAACGTACACCGTTTTACCCTCATTTATACTGTTCATACCCCAGCCTCTTGTTGTAATCGAATTTTTTTT